TATTGAGCAGACCTTCTGGATGCAGTCCGCGAGAATGGCGAGACCTCCTTCTAGCTGTAGACCGTGACATATTCTTCATCTTGAAATTTGTACTCAAAAACGTCCGTCACCCTATCACGCCCTTTCACGTCAATCCTACCCCTTGTTTTTGTACCAATACTGTACCATCATCAATTGTTTTAGCTTCCCAATTATTGATTAGAGTGGACCACATATATTTAATCAAGAAACTGATCGAAATAGAGTTTTCGCAGTTAACAGGTAAACCAAGAACAGCACGCAAGTTTTCAATGGAAAATAACGCAGAAAGGTGACAGATTTGTGAAGTAATAAGGTGGCTTCGTCGCCTCCAAAGGAGCCCGCTTTGGATTTTCCGTTGAGTAATCCACCATGCTCATGCATATCACTGTAAGTAATAAACTTCCATCGATCTCAACTCACCTGCAAAATTTTTGGACAGTTATAGAGTTTTTGTTAACATTCCATGCTCGATATTTCAGAGCTTGTTCATGCGCAGCACGATTTAGGCATGCGCCATTGCTCAGTTGGAGAGATGGCATGTCGGTGGACCTGCGTGTGCGTGCTGATTTGGAAGAACTGGTGCGTGAAGCAGCGAGAGAGCCGGTGGAACCACAGGCAACTTGGCAAACGCTGACTGCACCCGGCGCTCGTTACGGACATCATCATCTCACTGGGGCTTATTCTGCTGCTTATCCAGAAAAAGTGCGAATACAACGCGCAGTTGGAAGCGTCATAGAAGCGTCTCAATCCGCATCCGGTAGATACCCAATTCATCGCGATAAGGCTAATCTACTTCGGAATAGTAATTTGACTGCTATTTGGCGAATCTACCCCGGAACCTCACGATTACTCAGTTATCCCCGAGCCCACATACAAGACCAAGTCCAACAGTATTACTGTCTCTTCAAGCACCTCGAAGCAACCAAGCCAGTAGATTGGGACCGGCGATCTCAAAACAAGCTAATTGAGCTCGGGCTAAGACTAAAAAAAGAAACGCCGTCTAGCTCAGGAGAAATACAGATAGAAGAAGAGGTCTCGTTTGACTGGCGCGCTCTCTGATTTAGGCGGAGATGAGGACGCAAGCGAAGGCGTCTTGATCCAGCTAAGACAGGAGTTTTGAGTGAAGCTTCGCCTCCCTGAGACTTGACAGGTAGTGAGGTGTTTCTGCATTTATCTTCTTATTGTGTTTAAACAAGAAGGTTGAAAATATCGGGATAAGGGTGAGCCACCCCGAATTGACACCTCGCCCGTTAAAGATGCAATTGTGTATGGGATACTGTCTCGAAAGCCAAGAACAGTACATTTTCGGTAAATATCGGTTGTTTATCTTGATACAAACCAACTAGCTAGGCGACCTAGTAAGCACCTGTTACGACCACCAAGCAGCGTAGGAGACGATTGACTAAGGATTGACACTTGGTCAGAGAGTAAAAGTAATTGGAAGCCAACCACGGTCTCACACTAAATAAGCTTGAGTTCACCAACTGAGCTATGCAACTGTAGAAGTTCGTAGATTATGTGTTTGCTGATGTCATCTGAACATTACCGCTTTGATGAATTGTTACAAGTTTGTCATATACTTATTAGGAGCATAACCAAAAACATGAATTAAACTATGTAGCAGTACACTACAAAAATTGTGTTCTTAAGTTTATGATGATTACACTCCGTCACGAAAATGTGATGGCAAAGCGAACGGTGTCTCAGATACCTACTATATGAATATACATCCACGGTAAAGGTTACAGAGTGTTTATTCATTACGTTTCATCGCACAAGTGTGACACCCATGCCTGTGCTGTGTGTGGTGGAGGTAGAATAGAGGGGGGAGGGGGGG